GGGCCTAATTGAACCTCCTTGTGGGCCGGTTCCGGCCCGCGGGCCGTATGTTTGACACCATGCTTTACATAATCATCTCGCGGGCCGGATTAAACTCCTTTGCGGGCCGGATCCGGCCCGCGGGCCGTATGTTTGACACCCCTGGTTTAAGGCATGACATGATGGTGTGAACCCGAACTTGCTAGAATATTGTTTTCTTAATTGATAGCATCTTCTCAGAAATTTACGTCTGTGTGTGTGTGTGTGTGTGTGTGTGTGTGTGTGTGTGTGTTGGGGGTGAGGGGTAACAAGGTTTTTAAAGAAGGCGAACAACCACAATTAAAAAATACTTATCAAGGAGTTCATTGGATCTTGTACATGTTAACTGCAGGATACCGGACAACAAAATTGTCATAAATGGGGTGCAGACAAATAAGATGACAATGCAGGTTAGCTCAAGTTGCCTTCTGTAGCTATGAGAGATTAATGTGTAACAGCAGGTAGGGCTACCTATAAATAAAGAGTGTGAGAAGCCAAAAGACATGGCCACACCCTCATTTGAGTATTTCATGGCTTCACCACTGACCTGGCTCTGCTTGAGCGTTGAGACCAATTTCTGCAAGGTGATGTTCTCCTCTTCGAGCTCCGTGTAATCCTGAAGCAGCCGCGTTTCTCTGAATTTATACTCCTTGTTCTCTTCCCTCATCCTACTTCTCTGGAGCTCCAGCATTTCATTCGTCTGCGGCACAGGCACAAGAGACAAACTGACATTTTAAATGTGCTAAGGTTTGTATGTGACCCCGAACGCACGACAACAGACAGGAATGGCGTTTGCCAAAAACTTTGCATAATTTATTGTAGCCAATGCAAAGTCAACTCAGAAAAAAAACAAAGAAACTGAAAATTAAAGTTCAAGGGAGAACGCGAAGAATCCACAGGGAGAGGAAATAGCTACACAGGAAGCGAAAACTTCATGAGGTCAATGCAGGTCGTTACGGCACAAAGGTGCACTGAGGAGTGATGAGCTACAGGTGAGTCATTAGCAGGCGAGCCTCGGGTGTGAGATGTCGAGCACACTGGCTGAGAAGGCTCCCTGACCGGCCCCTCCGTAAGAAAATGTCTTACATGAACTGTCTGTCGTGCAATGAAACGTGTAAAAAATGCTTTACAAAAAACCAAAACAAAACAAAAAAAGTCCTACAGCATGCTTGTAATGTGCAAAGTGGCAGTCAGTGATTATTTTTGTGCAATTTGCAATGTAAAGTAATCTTTAAATAGGACTGGGGGGGTGTGGCTCATCTAAATGATAGGAAAACAGGAAGGTGTGTGTGTGTGTGTGTGTGTGTGTGTGTGTGTGTGTGTGTGTGTGTGTGCGTGCGTGTGTGTGCGTGTGTGTGTGTGTGTTTGTGTGTGTGTGTGTGTGCGTGCGTGTGTGTGTGTGTGCGTGTGTGTGCGTGTGTGTGTGTGCGCGCGTGCGTGCGTGTGTGTGTAGGATGAGAGTGGACAATGCTTCACTTTTACGAGATGATGACTAGACCGTACATGTAGATCATTAAGAAACGATTTGAGCTTCATAAATGCTGACAGCAGCTCTCAAACTCTTGAAGCTAATCGAGGCTAAACGTCCGTACTAGTCTACTGCAATATTTGAGCTAACTATACAGCGATTGGTTTGAGTGCTAGCTTTTATGGGTAAAGCAAGGAGTGCAGAAAGCACCATCTCATTCATTGTGCTGTGATGCTTTCAAGTGTACAATAAGTCTTGTAGTAGTTGTGCAACCTTGCTCGTTGAGTCCCGCATGTGCCGAGCTCAGGGTGTTTATTCCCAGTTGAGACCCGGATTTGCAACCTACAATGGCGTCGTGGCCCCGGTGTCTGACCCCAACTCGAACTCCAATGCTGACCCCCCAATGTCTGCTGACATGCCTGCGCATATGCACACCGTAATGCGTGATAATACGTGTAAATATTTTCCCCCAAAGCACTGGCTATCTAAAAAGAATCCTTGCGCCACCCAAATCAAATAAAATGAAACATAAAACAAAACAGGCATTCGCTTGTGCATCTTTGCGAGCTCTTTGGGATAGACGTCAAAGTCAATTAGAAATTTCCTCCAACAGAAGTAAATGTACATCGCTCTCTCATGTCACAGAACATCTTGTCACAGAGGGCTGACCTCTTTTAGAACATCTCTTGGTGTATTCTGTTCCTTGGAGTCGTAATAACTTTTGAAATAAGTTTTAATTGGAAATTAGAACATGCCTTGAGCCTTTCATAATAATGAGGAGGAAAAATAAGATGAATAATAATTCCTCTGACTATGACAAAGTGCATCTCTCCAAATACGGCTCAATGCCTTTGTAATTCATGTTTTTTTTCAGGTTGTAGTTAATTTTTTAAAATGGGATCATACTAATGCACATCAAATGATAGAGCTGTTGTTTTGACATTATCTTTATGACCAAAAATATGGCTGATCTGCAATTGAAAGTTGTATGTTGTGCTTGTTTGTCCCACTCCCTTTTAAAACAATTGCGTTTTCCCCCCGAGATTACATTTTGATGCCAAATCTAAGTTTGTATTGCGAGATGTGGGGAGATCCTCTACATTGGGAGTAACCTTGTGAAGCATAACCTTTGCAAACTCACTTCTCGCAGATCCAGCACGATCGCGTTGAGCCCCTCGTTCTCTGACTGGGTGTTAGAAGCCGCGGAGCGACTCAAGGTCAGCTCTGTCTGCATCTCCAAAAGACGAGACATGTAGTATGCCTCCTTGGAGGCAGACTCCTGCAGCAACGTCTCCTCATTGCTCTCGCCGTCCTCGGCCACCTTGCGCTGGTTGCTGTACGCTTGGCCGAATGCCTGAGGAAATGAAGAGCGCAGTTTGATAAATCAAAGTTTGTTATCTTGGCATGGAAGACAACAACCATCACAATGATGTCTGCAAAGCAAAACTTTCAGGCGTTGTCCCTTAACCACAATTGTGTTAACTTCTACCGATAAGGGATGAGGTTTCATTTGATCAATAGACAAACTGTTCCAATTTTCCTGACACAGGTTTCCACTGCACTGAGAGCTGGCGTGTTATAAAAAAGCTGCTGAGGCTCGAATGGAAAAATCAAAGTGAGGAGACACCAACGTAACTGAGCTGTCATTCTGCTGCAAGCAAATAAGCTCGAACATATATGACATGGCATGCATCATCAACAATTATTCAAATATATTCACATAGGTTTCCAAACAATGTCACCTGGAGGTTAGCAGAGGTTAATTCCCACAACCGCCACTACAGTCGATAAATAAACACAATAAGCAATCCAGCACTTTTTAGGAGAACAGCCAGAATGTCACAGGCAGACCTCTTTGTCTGACGACACAATTTGACCGGATCAGGAAATAAATTACATATTTATCGCGCAAGCAACCGTGGTTGGTAACTTAGTAAGTTTGAATGTTTGTGAGGCAGAGCCATGTCATTATTTTCCCAATCAGCAATCACCACTAGTGATGGCAAACTTTAAATGACGTTAAACAAACTGTAAAGAAAATAATGACAGAGGAGAAGAGTGTACAAATTTCATTACAAATAAAGCTTTTACGATTCTTTAAAAACACAACAAATTCCAACCTCATCTAAGGAAATTTGATGTGCAGACAAACCAGCTAAACAAATTCAATTGTATTTTCCAAATTACATTTCAATTGACCGGTGGTCCAGTGGTTAGCATGTCGACCTCACAGTGCAGAGGTACTGGGTTCGATTCCAGCTCCGACCTTCCTGTGTGGAGTTTGCATGTTCTCCCCTGAGTGGGTTTTCTCCGGGTACTCCGGTTTCCTCCCACATTCCAAAAACATGCATGGCAGGTTGATTGAACACTCTAAATTGTCCCTAGGTATGAGTGTGAGCGCGGGTGGTTGTTCATCTCTGTGTGCTCCGTGATTGGCTGGCAACCAGTTCAGGGTGTCCCCCGCCTACTGCCTGAAGACAGCTGGGATAGGCTCCAGCACCCCCCGCGACCCTTGTGAGGATAAAGCGGATCGGAAAATGGATGGATGGATGGACATTTCAATTGCTGCTCAAATGTTTAAGCATGAATCAACAATCCAAATTTTGATCCTTCACACAACTAAAAAAGTGCAATCGCACCAAAATGTAATAAAAACATTCTTGGCAGAGTACGTGTTTGGGATCTAAAAACAGGACCCACAGCACCTATCTTTTGCATTAATATACTTTTCTCTCCCAATACCTCATTTTTTTTCTCCTCTCTCACACATTTTGCGGTTTGGCCTTTTACCCACCCGCTGTTCCTCCTTGGGAAATGAACACTGACATTCTGGTTAATGATTAAGAGAATAAAAGCATTAATTAATGCAAAGCATTGTTTGAATGAGCACAAATTCCCATTTCGCGCAAGAGCGGCTGCCAATGTCCGAGCAGCAGCACGGTCACCCACAGCTGAACTCTGCAGGAGGAAGAAGGGAAAAGCTGGCCTCATGGGGCCCTACTTACTGGATTTCCACCACACCGAGAACACAAAAGGGAGAATTTGTGATGTAAAACCAACAGAAGGGCTATTACATTGCAAATTTGCAGCACTGAGATCCACAAACGCAACACACGTACATGCGAGCACACGTCCGCACATACAAACACACACAGACACAGAGCTCTAAATGAACAAGACTGAAATATGTGTCAAGAAAAAAACTAACTCTACATCGCACACAAACCCCAATTCCAATTAGGCTGCTGACGAATAGCGGACGAGCAAAATGTTGTAAATTGCTCACCTCTGATATTGATATATTACTGTTTACCCATTGTTGACAAGGATTGGACTAGAACTCTTCATATTACGACAACACTTTTGGACGATTACAACTAGATGGGAACAGTTTTGGCGGATATTGTTCCAGAATGACAGCACCCTATCCACAAAGCAAGGTCTCTACACACGTTAGGAAGAGTTTGCTTTGGAAAGACATGCCAAGCTATGTCATCCAACATCAGCCATCTCAGACTTCACAAATGCTCATCTGGATATAACTTTTGTCAAGGGTCTTGTCAGAGGAGTAAAGTTACAATGGAGGATCCAACAGCATATTTTCTTCCATTTTCCATTCCCGGAGGTGTAAGTTCCCACTACTTACAGTATGTTCACATTGTGGATCAATTTTATCATGAAAAGCAAACACAATAGCCTCTAAGCAGGGGTGTCAAACATACAGCCTGTGAGCCGGAACCTGCCCCCAAGGAGGTTCGATCAGGCCCACAGGATAATTTAAAAATGAAAAAATGCATAAAAGACACAGAATGAATATTTTTAATAAGGTGCAATGCATGGATTATCCGCTAAAGGGCACAATCTTTTCTTTATAAATCTCGTTTAATCTTAAAATGCATGACTATATTTTTCAATACCAAATACTTGTTAAAGTTTTGTGCCTTTGTGCAATCAGTGGGATCAGTTACAATGCATATATGTGAATGATAAAAGTAAATTGCAAATTTGTCTAAGGAAATCTAAGGTGTTTCATGAATTGTTTTGTAAAAGATATGTTCATTAAATTTCAACATTTTCCTCATATTCTTGTGCTTCACTCTACCAAAACAAAGGAAAGACATGCTATTTTGGTTATTTATAACAGAGTATGGTATAATTTTAATGACTTGACATCTACGGAGGCCGTATGCGGCCCACAATGTGAAATGAGTTTGACACCCCTGCTAGAGAGGCTTCAAATATCTGAGGAAGGTCAGTTTAAAAAAAGTTTATTTAGAAACAAAAGCTGGTTTTAAACTCAGCCCTTCACAAACGAGCCATCAAAGCAAAAAAAAAAAACAAAAACAAAAAAAAAAACCCATAAAACAAAAACATAACAGTGGTTATATTAATTATCATCTGAAAAGCCCAATTAATTGTTTGTAGTAGTTTTATACTGTTTGTATTCATATTTTATTTATCATAAGCCAATTATTATTTCATCCTCTTTATTGTTTATTTTCTTCCTTCTTCAATGTGATTTTTTTTCTTGTAAAACAAATAAGTGCTATCAAAATTGAAGTACAACGTTACATTTGCATTATTTTTAGTTAGTAGACTCACAGACAAACAGATGGACTGCCAATTATTTAGTATTACGTGCATGGAGATTCATTATGTTTTCACGCAACAACCCCCTTCCATGCATGTTCCTAAAAGTCCACCACATTTGGCAGATGCTCCACATAAGAGGGAATCGAAGAAAGTGACACTTAATGGCTTGTGACTCATTGCCCTCTTCCAACGCTCTGGCCGGCCTGTTGCTGTTGCGAGGCAGCTACCTCCCAGCTAAAAATAACACAGTGACAGCTGTGCATTTTTCAACTAATTATGTGAAAAGCGGTGATAACGCATAAGTGCTGAGTCATTGTGATGATGGCTCCTGGCTGTCCTGTATGGGCCCATTGTCTGTCCTACTTGGGAGATATAGCACCATTCTTCTCGTAAAGAAGTGTGTGGTAAGGGTGAATAGCACTTCCTCAGGATCATATTCATTCAAAATCGGCAATTGGCAGCTCATTTGGAGAAAGAAAGACGCATAATGAATTTGGCCTCAGGCACTTTGGCCTTGTGTGCCTCACTGGCTCAAGTCCAGACAATGGGGCAGCACCTGCATGTACTCAGCCGGAGGCTGGGGAAGCTTACATGGGACGCAAACCCGGACAAGGGGAGGTGAGTAAGGTGTTCGAACCCCGAAATCCTTACCCATCTGTGGTAGATGCTAATGAGGACTCAGGGGAGTGCCTGCTAGCTGTGCACCGTGTGCGCACTTATCTATTTTTACACTCTTATAACCCCAATTACACTCAATCGTTGTTCATAATTAACTGCACGCATCAGGTCTGCCTCATAGTCACATTTCAGGGTGAATGAACAGCATTTAGAGAGTAAAAAACATTTGCCTTCTTTAATTACTCATTGTGGATTAGTGATAAAATTAATGTTAACTTTAATTAGACTGTCAAAATAACCTCATGAATAATCACTTTTTGATTAATTCACTTACAGTAGTGCCTTAAGTTTAATTTGAATGTAAAGAATCATACAGTTTGAGGATCATGATTTCATGCTTGAAAGCCCAGTCACATTGTACTGTTCCCTCTTCTGTACACACTCTAATCACAGGGCGGAATTCTAATACTTTCATAGTAAATGCACCAAATACACATCTCAATAAGCAGCAGTAATATACATCATTTTTCACAGAGGATAAAGAATGTATGCCTGGGAGTATTGTTATATTGTATGCCTACATATGTTGCTGCACTGTTTGTATTTAAATATCCATTGATTAAAGTCTTACAACCAGGATTCCAAATTAACAACCTGCAACCTGCCAAATGTGGGTTCAAATTCATTTTGTTGATAAAAACGCATCTGTTTGGTCTTTGATTGCGTCGGTCATTTGCTGACACCATCTAGCTTTTGTAACAAAAAAAAAAATTGCGAGCAAGTTACAACTCAAGAGCAGGAAATAGGACCTGCCACAGTTTTTATGACTGAAAACCTCCCAAATCGGGGCACTCGTAAGTCAAGTTGTAATTGTCCGAACATGAAGACTCCCGTTGTTTTAAAACATGTGCAAGAGATGTGAAATCATAATCCGTCAATCAAAATGTAATCTTTTCAGTGAAACTTGATTGAAATTTCATCCAAAAGGCAGCTTGCTGAGCAGTAATCCCTACTGAAGGCGTGTAGTGATGTAGTTGTGGAACATAGCAATCGGGGTACGGTATTAGTGAACTCACAAGAAGTTATGATGAGTATAAATACACATACAGATACACATGACATCTACAGTTGCGTGCAGTCCAG